AGCAAGCTGTCGTCTGAGATGCTATCCAAGGTAGTAGGGTGTCTCAGTGAACCACCCAACCTTCCAGCTAGTCCTCCATCTAGCTAGCAGTATCATCAGAGCTTGGCAGCTGAAGAAAAAACGATTTTGTTTGATGTATCTGTAAAGCAAGGCAGGAGGGTCATTGCTGAATCTGCTGCATGACCCATCCTGTCTAGGTCCTGTGAATCCTCTCAGACCAAAGAGTGACTTTTCCCTTCAGCTGCCTATGTCACACCATTACGCTTCTCAGAGGGGTGTTTTGGGACATGAGAATCTCAGATGATCTTCTGCTTGTCTCAGCTTTTAAGACTGCCCAGCAGCTGTAGTACCACCTGCTTTTCACCCTACTGTTTTCATCTCTCTGCTGGCTGAAAGGTACACTGCTCAGTATCAGCCTCTTCCTAGGGCAATTTCAGTAAGGGAAAGGTATCCCTATGAAATTAATGTCTCAGCATCCAAAGAAGTATTCTTTATCCTCTCCATTTGCCTGCTGCTCTCCTGAGAAAGGAAAAAAAGCCTTCCAAAAGCCTTCAAGCTTGTTTGTGTGTTCAGCAGAGGCTGAATGTGTCCCTTATTCCTTATGGTTTTTTGAAGATTTTTTTTTGCCTGTTGCTTTCCACTTTTTTCTTTTCTTTTTTTAATTCTCCATTTTTCCACTTAGAGGGAAAAATTATTTATTGCATTGAGATGCGCTAATTAAAGCCATTTTCTGGTATTTGGTTACTGAAGTGTTTGATGTCTCTCTGACAAGACCATGAAATGCACAGTGTGTCTACAGGGACAGAATTTGCTGAACACGGTGCTTTGTAAATGAGGGGACACAGTGTCGCAGCAGCTCATGAATATGAAACGCCCATGATGCTACCTCAGTGGACTTGAGAACACAGATGAATCCTGTCATGTGCTAAATGAGACCAATTTCTTTCACTTAACTTCATCTTCAATCAGACCTTCTTCCATTTGCCTGTTTAAAATTCCCCAAACGTGATGCAGAAGGTAACAGCATTCAGTAAAACAAAGTTTTGCAGCAGCAGAGATATTATAATTATCTCATTTTTACATTTTATGAGCAAGCAACTTAAACTAAAGTTAGTTTCATTCTTATGCCTGCTTAGTGGCAGGGGACTGCCAGTTCCAGCAGCCACTGCCCTTTTTGTTCTCTGGATATGGCAGTGGATGGGAAGAGAAGACAGCTCCATCCCCACTGCAGAAGTGCCCATTCTGAACTGGCACTGGAAATACGCACCCAGCCGGTGGAAGTTAATCAGATGAAGCAAGATGGAGATGTTCTTTTGGGTGTTTGGATCTTGGGTGTGAGGCTTAGGTGACTGAAAGCAGCCCGGTGAGACTTGGCAGCCACCGTACTGAACAGCTGTAGGCTGGACTTGAGATGTGGTTTCTAGGAACAGCTCTGATTTATTGCCTGACCTTGAACAAATTCTGTCTGTCTCTAACAAAGCATTGAGTTCTGTGGGGCTAGGACCAGATCTCACTGTGATGAGAGCCTGCAGGTGTTGCAACTAAACCAAAAATAAGCTCCTAGGAGGGGAAGTGCAACTTGACAACTTGCAGGTGTAGCTGGGCAGTAGTTAGTAGGCATGCCTCCATCTCCTGCTTGTGGCTGTCTGTGGTTGTCATCAGTAACCTCTTTGCTAATGGGCAGAAGAGGTGATGGTCACTGCACATTCCTTGTCATGAGCACAGAACCCTGCTTTGTGTGTCACTTTAAAAACTGCTATTCCTTGTTTATTGTTTGGCTACCCAGATGTAGCCTTTCTCCTTTGTTTCTTCGTTCTACTGCTCGCACGCTTCTGCCTCATGTTGGCAGCATCTTGTCATAATTTAGCTATGGAACTCTAATAGTTTAAGACCTCGTTTGATCTAGCTATTGTAATAAAAATACTGCTCTTAATTATGCTTTGGACTTGGATGTTCTAAGGCATTCAGTTTGATGGAACATATTACAACTCTCCTGTTAGCCAACACTTGTACTGGTGTCTCCCATCCTAACCTATGTGTGGATGCACTCATTTTGATTTCATTCTTTGATAGTTTGCACCTGCTTGCTATTATATGAGGGATGGAGGGGAATCTGCAGTGGTGTAATCCAGCATTTGATGCTCACTCAGTATTTCATATCTCTATCATGAGTAGTTTTGAAACTAGTGTCTTGTTTATAGGCTGAAAAATTCATGAGAAAGGCTTTGTTTTGATTTTGTTCCCAGTCATTTTGAGCAATAAAGGGAAGTCTCACCCGATCCTCTTTACTGTCACTGTAGGCACTGAGCTTTATGTTGTCTCCTCTATCGTGGGCATACCATGTCTTCTGCTGGTGATGAAGTACCTGGCACATGTGTCCACCTCTTCTACTCTCTCTTCAGCTAAAATGAAATTGAGATACTCTCTCAGGGGGACTTGAGTGCTGCTTTTAGGAGCGTTCATTCTGGCAGTTTTATCTGTCGTATGAAATGGAAATTTGGAGGAGTTCTGTCTGGGGAAGATGACTTGCAGGAGGCTGCATAGATAGCAGTAGAGGTTTGTAAGGTAGTCTTGTTGGAAAAGCCTAAAACCATTTCTGTATGAGTGCTGCACTATGAGACTGGGAGAACATGGACCTGTGAACATTTCTGTATGTATTAATGTTATATCAGAGTCATCTTACTTCAGCTAATGGCAGTATTAAAAGTAAAGCATATGCCTGTATTCTTGCAGCACTGCAGCTCATGTGGTTCCATTCCCTACAGTAGGCATAGTGCCATGACTTAGCTGTGTTGTTAGAGCCTGTTGAAAAAGACAGATGTACATGCTAAGAAGAGCAAATAGTGGGCAGGAGCCTGGGCAAGTGGAAGGTTGGCTACTCAGTGATGAAGGTGAAAAAGGAGACACTTTGTGAACTGTAAGAAGAGAGGAAGGAGAGGGATTGTGGAGAGATAGCGCTGTGGATATTGGCAGAGGGTAGGAGAAGTTATGAGTAAAACAAGGACCCAAATATTTCAGGCCTGATTTGCCATTGGTAGCAACTGGCCTGGGGAGCTTTTTTTTTTTTTATACCTTGCAACATTTTTGTTCTGTTTCCTGAGTCTCTAACAGTCCTAAGGAGCATTGCGTGTGCCTAGAAATGGACAAAATCATTGGCACTTTTCGGTGAGAACATTCATGCAGTTCTCTTTGCTGGAGGGGCTGGCAGGAGCCCCCAGAGCATTTCCACGAGTTCTGTCTGAAATATTTTCAAAGTGCCTATAAAAATATTGGAGCCTTTAATTTCTTTTCGAAGGAATTTCTATGCGATTGCTTTCATGATGGTAATACAGAGTAGAGGAAGCGCTCAGGAAGGTGTTCGGGAATCTCTCCATGGAATTCAATGGCAGTGAGATAAAATCAGCACTGGCAAATCCAGAACTCTTTGGAAACCTGCATAAAAGGAAGATGCTGCTCAGAGCACTAAGTTTATGGTTTTCTCTAGTGCAAAAAGAAATAAACAGAAGCAAAAGTCTGGCAGGGTACCTCTGTGTGGTGCTTTGTTCCTCCTGTTGTACAGCCTCTGCAGTCTGTATCCTCCTTGGTCTTTGTTATGTACAGGGACTTTCTCCCACATTGTCACTGAGCAATTCTCTCCACAGGTCAGTCTCTGTCCACAGAGATGCTGTTAGCCTGTGACTGCATTTTATTATGAGCTTTACCTTGAGCTGGGAGCCCCTGCATAGAAGAGCCAGTGGGACAGCAGGTTCTCCTGGCTCTTGTCCCTAAACGCAGGGGGGGACGGATATATCCCAAAGGCATGGTAACACACTGGTGAGGCGTTTCTTGCCCTCTAAGGGACATCCTGGGGGCCTGTTGCTGCAGTTTTCCTTTAAATGTCTTTGAGAAGTTTGCCTTAGTCAGAGAGCTGCTTTGCAGGCACCTGTTCCTCAGGCAGCTGGGGAGCTCGAAGGCACAGCTCTGCTGAGATCATCCAAGCTGTCACCTCCGCTTGCCTTGGCCTGGCTCTCTCTGCAGCCGCTGTCCTGCTCAGCCCTCCGCCAGGCAGCCAATTAGTGAGAAATCCCACTGTGTGGCCAGTGCCGAATGACCGTCACACTGAGGCCTGTGCTGACCTGTGCCCTCCCGCAGCTGGGCCAGGGCTGCTCTTGCCCCAGCAGCCAGTGAGCCCCAGGGATGCTGAGGGGATGCTGGGCAGAGAGGGCAGCTGAGAGCTTGCGGAGTTCTGACAGGCGGCCGGACAAGGGGCTCTTCAGCAAGACCCTGCCCGGAGCCTTGGCCGCCACAGGTGGGGATGTCTCTTCAGCTCCTGAATATTCATCTCAGCCTGGGCTGCAAAGCTGGGCAAAGTCAGGCCCAGCTGCCTGCTGTGCTGTTGGCAGAGGCAGGAGCAGCCTGCCTGCTCCAGCACTAGAGGGCCAGCTCTGATCCCACCTTGTGCCTGTGAAACTTCTTCCCAGAGCCAACCACTGGCATCTCCGCCATCTGAGGGCACAGCATCTCTCAGGTTCTAGCGGGATGCAGTGCGCAGCCAGTTTTTCCTGCTCACCTCTGTTTTCTTTTTTTTTTTTTTCCCTCTAAGTACCCTTTTTAGGTGGAATAACCATAATCAACGTGCTGGGAATATCTAGTGACACCTATCAGCCATTCCAGGTTCACTCTGGAAGACACAAAAAGATTTATGACATTACAGCTTGGTGCATCCTCCCTAGTCTTAATGTCAGATGGACCACCAGCACTTCCTCCTTCAGCCACTCGGAAGGTTACAGCCTCTGCCCAGTCTGCAGGGAGCCAGCAGCTCCTTCAGCATGCAGATTCATTCACAAGGCTTCTGCCACTTTATGCTCCACACCTCATTTCTAGCAGATTCTATGTGGCTGAGCTGAGCTGAGTAATTGACAACGTATCTCATAGGAAGCAAATTCTTACCAGTCTTCAGATGATGGCCAGATTCTTTCAGCTAAAAGGTTGTCTTCAAACACTGTTTTCTCTTATTGCAGATATTCCTGTGATCCCTGACTTAGAGGAAGTCCAGGAGGAAGATCTGGCCATGCAGGTGGCAGCCCCACCCAGGTAAGAGAGCTCTTGAGGCTCACATTGGCTGTGTGAAATGTGTGGTAAAATTAAACTCCATCTTATCTCATGTCCTGTGGATGTCAGTGGCAGTTTCATTCAGCAGGATTTGATGCTCTGCATTGTGACAGTGGGGCTCCAGGCTGAACAGTGCCAACTTGTTTCCTATTGCACAGAGATAGCAATTAATGCATTTTCTCTCTGTATACACAAAAACTACATTAGAGCAACGCTTTTGATGTTGCAAAATCAAACTCTGAAAAGTGAGGTGTTGCTTGATGTAAGGTTGCCTGTGTGACACATGCCTCCAATACACATGTATTATCACACACTTTGACTGCACTCTGCTTTGCCCTCCACAGGATATCCTTTTCACTCAAGGGCTTAGTTAATTTGCAAAGCACAATATGGTCTGTAGGTGTATCACAGTAGTCTTGGGATTAGCTCATGGGAGAGTAGTACGTTTTAAAAATTGAAAGTTAAGTTTTGAAGTTAATTTTCTTGTTACTTCTGAGTCTTCTCTCCTGTTGGATCTATTTTGAAGATCACAGAGTAAGATTTCTGTTCACCTTTGGATGACCATAGATGCCTCTCTTGCAAGTATGGAATAGGTGTCGTAACTAAATAGCTGTTAATAAAAATAAATGACATATCATAGCAGTAAATGAAAAAAGATTTTGTCTCTCACCAGGGTTTGTTTTTTTGCTTTCTCTCTCTTATATAATCCCATCTGTTCTTCCTGTATCAATAGTCACTCTGCAATAGAAGATAAATAGTTTTCATGGGCATACATAGAAGATAAATTAATACGAATCTTCCCAATAGTACTACGTAACATGCAAAAGAAAGTCTTGCAGGACAGTATATTGCTGCCTACCCCTGCTCATCTTTGGAGTCTGCATTTTAAGAAATTGCATTTGATAGCTGAAATTTAGCTGAGAGATGGAAATCACAAAGTCTTCACTGTTCTATAGTTTGCACTGCGGGACTCTTAGAGTGTGCTTTACTTACCAGATAGGAGTGGCATTTTGGCTGTTACATGCTGGATGTTTCTGTATCTGGGCTGTTTGAATGTTCATTGCCTTCCTGTTTTCTTTCTGGCCCTTGCATGTGGCTTATGAATCTTCTCTCTGGCATGCCAGCTTCTCTGAAGGAGTCCCTGTTTGCTCCATATCTTATTTTAACACATGTGATCAGTCTGGCTCTCAGATGTCAGTGCCTTTTAATTTGCTGAATGAGATGTTCTGTTCTTGGACAACCATCTCGATATCCTCATCACCCAGTGTAGATACTTGAGGTGGGTGTCCCCACACTACTGTTCAAGCCACTGTTTGTCTCATCTGATGTGCTTCCACACTCATCAGGGGTGTATTTTGCACCTTTCTGTTTGCAGTGTGCAGGTGAACCGAGTGTTGACCTACCATGACTTGGACAAAGATCTTATGAAGTACGCTGCCTTTCAGACTCTGGTAGGTGGATGTTGGTGTGGAGTGACCGGTGTAAGTCCACTTCCTTCCAGTTTTCCATTTTCCTCTGTGATACTTAGCTGCATAAAATACATTGCCCTGTCATCCAAGCACCTTCCAGTCTGCCTGCAAGTGTTTTCCTCTCTGCAGAGCGCTTTTCAGGCTTGTGAGTGTCTGTAAATGTTGTACGTATAGTGCCTCTTGTTATATGAGGAGGTACCTGCTGCTGTCCTAAAGAAGGTGCGTGTCATGTATGGGACAAAATGTTATATCTGTATCTCTAGCAACATCCTCTCTGGTGAAATGATGGTGTCTGCTTTCTCTGTGTCTGTAAGACTGTGATTGTGTGTATTCTTAGGATGGAGAGGTTGACCTGAAGCTTCTCACCAAAGTCTTGGCTCCAGAACATGAACTACGGGAGGTGAGTTTTTCTGGAAACGCCAGTGAATTAAAAGCTTCTTATGTCTCAGACTGTACTTAGAAACTAAGCTTTTGTTGGCATGGAAGAAAGAGACTTGAGAAGGAGCCTATGAAGAGGAGCTTGTTTTCAAGCTGATGGAGGTCTGAATTCCCCAGCAGATTATTTTAAAAGTTTGTAGGTATTTCTGTGTGTGAGATCATGGCATTGCTGTGACTGGCTTCCTTCAGTTTGAAAGAGCTAGTGAAGGGCCTCGTACTGTCACAGATCCCTGCAGAAACCACTGCAGTGTGTAGTCTTTTGGTAACCACCATGGGCTCCAGATGGTTCTGCACTGTGCTACAGAGGAACAAAAAAAGCATTTACGGTTAGGGCAGGGGGCTGTTTTAAAGCAAGGCAGAAGAACCTCAGTACAAATGTATAAGCAGTACCTCAGGACTTGAAACAAAGGATTTCTACAGCCTAGAATTGCAGGTGCTTTAGTAGAAGGGTGGCAGATTTTTATGTCTCCTTATGCTCTTCTTGAGGGTACCTAAGATTAACAGTGTGGGCTTTACTGAATTTGGGAACATGATTAATTCTGCCAATCTTTAAATTGTAACACGGATTCACATTCCGTTCTCTCTAGGTTTCCTATCCTAGTCTACGAAATACATGCCTTCCTCTCTGGCAGGATCATCATTCAGAGACCTTTGGGAGTTATCAGTTAAATTTTCAGCATGTTTGTCTTTTTCCTCTTGATAGGACGATGTCTGCTGGGATTGGGACCATCTCTTCACAGAGGTATCCTCTGAACTAGTAACTGAGTGGGACGTGGGACAGTCTGAGAGAGAGGATCACCTCAGTGTCCCCTAGAGCACTGATACACCAGATATCTCCTCGTATACACATTCCCTGTAAATAATTTAGCACTTTAATTTTCTGTTCGCTTGTTTGTATTTGAGAATATATTTCAGACATGGAAATAAATAGAGCTTGCTCTGTAGGAAAACTGGCTCAGGAGAAGTTTTGGATATTTTATAGTAAGACTCTTCATTCTCAAAAGAGATTAAGAATGACAATAAATTATTTACTTGTGAACAGTCACTGTCACCTTACTGCAGCACCTTTACAGATAACTGCAATGGGCAGTCTTTCTTCAATCAAATTGTAGCCTCTCTGGGAGACTGTCTTACACAGCCAAACAATGGAATGTGGTTTTCAGTGATGGCTATGAGAGAAGATAGGTTGGTACTGTTTGTTTGCCTAGGACGTCTAAGTTATCATCTTCCCACAACATATGCCACAAGTTGTCATGATGTCTGTTTTATATCTCATCTACCAGCTTCTGTCATCCCTTGCTGGTTTAACATTTGCCCTGGGTCCTTACCTCTGTATAGACTCAGAGGAAGAATATCGCCTACTAAACTGCCAGTACTGCTTCTTACAGGACCTATTCTTTGTTTTCCCTGGAGGGATCCCAGACAAGGGCTGACCAAGCCTAACGCTGCTTAGCTTCTGCAGTCAGATGAGATCACATATTGAATGGAGTTAGCTCCAGGCAGTAGGTAGTTTGCAAAGAAAATACTACTCATTCCACACATGAAAAAAAGAAGCCTGCTGCTCTGAAACAAGCTAACTCCCTGGTGTGTTTCCTTGGAAGCAAGTAACCTGTTCTCATTGTCACCTAAAAAAAATCTGTTTAGCTGTTAATGCCCTATCCCCATAGAGCTGTGGTCATTATTTGCAGGAAACAATAGTATGACTTCTAAGCCAGTATCCTTCAAAGCCTTGTCCCACTGGAGAACCTTGCTATATACTTCTGAGGTGCAGTGCAGGTGCTGTGCAGAAGGCTTGTTACTGCTTTTCTCAGCTTGTTCCATAGGTCTCATGGAGCACTGCATTCTTTCTTCTGTACTGGCAGAAGTCCAGGAGAAACAACTCAGTGTGAGCTCAGTACTCTGCAAAATTTCTGATCACAGTTGATAGCCAAAAAAAGCCTACCAGCAAGAGAGAAGAAGCTGTCTGAACGAGATGCTATGTTTGTAAAATCAAGGAATCTCCCCTGTAACTGGAAAAGTAGATGAGATGGAAGCCTTGGGGCTAGCGTGTGGAGCATACCCCCTGAGGTCTTTTTCTGAGCAGAGAAACCTGTTCTGGAGTGAACAGAAACTTTCCAGCTTAGAGCAATGTCTGTTTTTCTCTGACATCTGTGGCGCTTGGCCAAAGAGAATTTAGGATTCTTCCTATAGTCCAACAAAGAGAAAACAAATTCAGCAAACTAAAGTAGCTTGGTATATCAGACAATCTCAAAAAGGCTGTGTGGGGAAAAGAATGGTAGAGTGGGAGAAGTTGGTTAGGCTTCAGGTTAGATTTGCATGGTGATCTTTGCACATCCCAAAGATCACAGAGAAAGCAGAGGCTCTCTTCTCTCACATACAGTCTGTAGTTAGTTTAGTGTGAGTTCTCTCTGTTCTGCGTAAGCTGAGGCTCCTCTAAGCTGCTTGCCTGGTATCATGGTATTCAGTGCATGTCAGCCAGTTATCAGTGACCATAAAAGATGCCCAGCCTTGAGGCACAGCAGTGGATGAGATATGAATCCAACTTCTCTGGTTGTCCAGCCTGAGGTTTGATCTGTGACTTGTGACATCATATGTTGAAGTTTATTTAGAAACTTAGTGAGGTGGTATTACTGACAATTGGAGCATTAAGAGAGGAAAGCCAGGCAGTACTTAGGATTGCGGCCTGCAGAATGTGGGCGGTTGAGGCTGTGCTCAGCCCATTGCTCGTCTTGAGCTGCATGCCATGCCGACAATCCTGCCTCTATCCAGGAGGGCAGAGCACTGCCTGCCTCTGAGGACTTCACTGATCTCCCTGGAGACCCTTGAAACAGAAGTGGGAGGGATATTGGATGCTCAGAGATCTTCCTGGGGATGGTGACAGGTAGGAGTGTGAAGGGCCTGGGGACGCCATTTTAGACAGGTGTGGGGAGGAGAGCACTTGATGTCACAGCAGGGTTTCTGGGAGGGCCAAGAGGAATGAAGAAGGTGAATGATTTGGAAACAGTGTGTATAATGTTTGGAGGAACTGAGGACAGAGCAGGTGCTGATGGAGAGAAGGAAAGTTGAGGTGCTTTGATGTGTAGTCTGACCTGCTATGATACAGGCTGTGGCAGAGCTCAGTGAGATGTGGCTGAGCTTCACCTGTCTTTTCCCTGGTTAGTTACCTCAGCAGATAACTGCCCTTGTGGTTCAAAATCTGCTTTATTTCTAGGCTCTGTTTTTGTTTCATCTTCTGTTCCTTGCATCTGGCATGCTTTCACCTTCCCTGTTAAATCATGCTGTCAGATACTTCTACTTGCTCAGGCATTTATGTGCACCATGAACTAGTTGTATCTTTAATTTTCTTAAATAAACTTAATAGAGTGAGACTTGTTTCCACATCTTTCCCATTCCTTCTGCAGCTGGAGGAAGGAAGGTGAGCTGTCTGGCTCTTGGCCTTCCTCACCACCTGCCTGGTTGCGGTGCTGGGAAGTGTCTGAGCTGTGCCCTCTCGCTGTCAGGCCCTGATGTCACATTGAAATCTGCTCCTGTAACTGTTCCTGCTGAAAAGAAACAGATGTAAGTGCCTTTGCTAACTCTTGGTGAGGAAGGCTGTATAGCCATCCTTTGAGGCATCTCAGTGTCCACAGTCACAGAGGGGTAAAGCGGTGTGTAATAGTGTGCCCTCAAGTTCCTAATCCAAATACAGTGCTTATAGACCTAGTGAGTGTTTTGTTCCCAGCCTTTTGTCTGAAACTAGTGGAGATCTTGTGTCCTGCACGCTCCTTGTTCTGCTCTGGCCCTACATGGCAGAGGGAGAGCTGCAGACTTGTCGGTGTGTTGTCAGCAGCAGGGTTAGCACAGTGAGTTGCTCTGGGTGTCTGCAGAGGGCTCTGCTGGGGCTCAGGCTAGGTGAGCAGCTCTGCCCCAGAAAGCCCCTTGCAGGCTTAGGGCTCAGTGGTCTATTCAGGGCAAACTGTGAGCCTCATCACAGAATAAAAGAAATGCACAAATAAAAATGAATTCTAGCTCCTTGCTTATAATAATAGATACAATATTTATATTAAAGGAGATGCCTTCTTAGAGTACAGCTTGTTGGGGAAGTGAGAGGGTTTTCAGAGCAGAGACTGCAGCTCTGGAAAAGCATGTAGAAAATAAAAGCTGCGTAAAAGCCAGGCCCATCAAGTTTCCACTGAGGAGCCTGCCTGCTGGCCGGGAAGCACTCAGAGGGGCTTTTTCACTCAGAGGATGGTGACACACTGGAACAGGCTCCCAAGGATGTTGTGGGTGCCCCATCTCTGGAGGCATTCAAGGCCAGGCTGGATGTGGCTCTGGTCTAGTGGCTGGTGACTTGCACACAGCAGGGGGGTTGAAACTAGATGATCATTGTGGTTCTTTTCAACCCAGGCCATTCCATGATTCTGTGATTCTGGGCTCTAAGTGTTTTGTTAAGTGTGGCAAAACGATGGGGGGAGGGGCTTTATGTTAATCAGCTGGAAAGGTGCTGCTGCTCCTCTCACCAGAGCATCTCAGGGACAGTGGAATTAATTCATGGCATATGCTCCCAGCAGCTGCTGCGCTGACCTGGAGTAGCGGCAGCCTGGGGCCCAGCTCCCGCTCCTCGCTTGGGCCTTGCTCCCTACCAGCCCTGCTGGGCACAGCCGCTGCTGCACCGCCCCGGGCTGCAGCCTTCCTGGCTCTGGGAGGGAGAATGCTGTAGGCCTGGAGGAAAGGAGATGCTTGGATACAAAAGAGAGCAATCTGAGTAGAAAAAAATCCAGTTTGTCCAAAACAGCCCTGATTCCTTGTACAGTGCTCACTGTCCAGGCCCTCCTTCCTCAGCTGCTGTTCTGTGCTTGCTGTGAGGCACCTGCTACTCATTCTCCATCCTTGTTTCCCACATTTGCAGAGCATCTCAGTAGATGGGTTGATCCTCTCCTCAGTGAGAGCACAGAAAAAGACTTTGCTATTAGTAGATGTCACGTGTCTGATGGCTCTCAGCAAGTAACTTTTCCAGCCTTGTTTTCACTCTGGTAACTATCGGCCACGTCCAGGGCCTGTGTCTGCCATTACAGGTAGTTGAACCATGTTGCTTACAGGCCACGCTGGCCTTTGTCTGTGTTTCATGCCCTGTGTAACCTACAGACAACTCTCGCTCTTGGGATACAGCTACTCCCAAAGAAAGCTGTCACTCTGCTGCAATTACGCCCTTGGAGGAATTAAGCCTCTCCTCTAGGTGCCCTCTCCCAGAGGGATGTTCTGCAGTCAACCTCACTAGGCCTGAGCAGCCCTGGGCTGTGTGCCCTTATCGGGCTCCATCACCAGTCACTTTCAGGACTACTTCATTATCCCTTTATTAGCCCTCTTCTCCCGCTTATCGTTATTAATAATCATGTTGGATCGGCTGGAGTGCTGACAGCTGCCTCTTGTCTATTCTTTCTGTCTGTTTTAATCCTGCCTGCTTATCTGGGATAAACTTGATCCTTTTTCTTTTAATTAAAGAAATTTGGTCAGCCAGCCCCTCCTCCATGCACAGATAGGATCACACCGGTGATATGCAGCAAGCAGGAAAAGGGGCAAATTGCTGGGTGACGGTGTTTTCCACAGCCCAGAGATGGGAGATGTGGGAGTCCAGGCTGGAAGAATCACAAACTGCACAGATCATCCCACAGTGCCACAGCACTCTGTGCTGGGGCACAGCTCTGCTTCTGGCCTGTTAAAAATGCTCAGGCAGCTGAAATATTCGTGTTGTCTGAAGGGACAGGTCACTGGAGGAAGGGCTGTGCGAATAGGCTGGTGAAAAACTATTGACTTAATTTACACTTTTATGAACCCATAAACTCAAATCTGCATTCGTTGCAGTCTGTAAAATAACAGGAGTGTGGGCTGAAATGCTTAGAAAGTGTTAATCAGGGGTCCGTAACAAAGCAGAATGCTCTGAAGTGCGGCAGTGGGAGCCTGACCGTGAGCA